AGCTCTTGAAATGCATGGAAAAAAAAAATAATAATTCCACGGTGTGGATCGGGGGCTAAGAGAACAAAAAGAACGGTCTCCAAACTTGGGGTTTTAATTTTTCACGGAAAAAAGTTAACAAATAGGGGCGTAAAAAATGTTAAAATCATTTTTATCCGCTTTTCGAAAGTCCATTATTTTTAGAGATCAATAAAAATACGTCGCCCACACGTGTGACCTTTTTAACACACGGTTACGGTGTCCAAAAGAGCACGTAAATCTGAAGAATAGCGGTGTAAAGTTGCTGTGCGTCCCTTCATCACAGCTAAAGTGTCTGAGTACCAGCTCATATCATATATGTAACAGCGTCTTCTCCTATAACTATTGTGTCACTATGGATATGTACTTACATAGATTCGATTATATATCATTGATGCAGTAGGTACTTAGATTGTGTCTCTATTTTATTTTTAGATTTGTGAGTTAATTTTTTGACCAAAAAAATTATTTTAAAGAGCTTTATCGTTTTATTAATTTAAAAAAAAATTATTTTTCATTACTTAAACAATTTTTACTTGATTCAGGAATTTTTTAATTCATTAATTAATTGTTTTTTAATCTATTATTATTATAATTTTTAAAAACTGCAAAAATGATTTTTTTTTTAATTTAAAAAAAAGTTTTAATATCATAAAATTCTGAAATTTTAATTAGAATTTACTGCAAAATATTTGTATTTTTTTTTTATTATTAATTGATACTTTTAAATGCACTGAAGAGTGAAAAAAAAATTTTTTTTTTCAATAAATTACGTTTAATAATAAATGCAATTGCCATTTTGAGCAAATTTTCGATATAAAAAAATTTTTTTTTCTTTGTAAAAATTTTAATGCGCTAAAAAAAATATTTTTTAATAAAGTCAATGAGAAAAAAAACTTTTGATCTAATTTTAATTCTAATTAATTAATTAATTTTTTGTGGTGTATTATTATTATTATTATTATAATCTTTAAAAACTGCAAAAATTATTTTTTTTTAATTTAAAAAAAAAGTTTTAATATTATAAAATTCTGGAATTTAAAGCAAAATATTTGTATTTTTTTTTTTTTTATTATCAATTGATACTTTTAAATGCACTGAAGAGTGAAAAAAAATTTTTTTTTCAATAAATTACGAATAATAAATGCAGTTGCAATTTTAACCAAATTTTCGATTTTTTTTCTTTCTAAAAATTTTAATATCCAAAAAAAATTATTTTTCAATAAAGTCAACCAGAAAATAAAACTTCTGATCTTTCAATCCAGTTATTTCCGTAGTAATAAAATTTAAAAATTTCTGAAAAATCTATCGTGACAGCTTTGACATGCCTTGAAAGTACGTGGGGGTCAAGATAATATTGCAAATATGCTGTCTATATATAACCACCCGTATTTCTGTTTCTAAAAATAGATTATAAAATGTACGGTAAGTGATGGGTGATGGGTGATAGGAAAGGGGTTCTTGTTCATACACAAGAACTGGTGGCGTGCACGTGTGTTCCATTAATTTTAAAAGACGAAGATAGTAAAACGGGTAAATAAATAAACCGAAAATATTGGAGAAAAAAAAAATAAAAAAATAACTGGGACTTTAGCAGTTGATAGTAAGATAAAAAATATTCTTACGGTGTTTGCCGAGTATTATTATTACCCAGCGCACACATGCATAAATATGTGTGAAAAGTGTATACAAAGCCGTGGGTTGGGGGTGTAGAGTAGAGCGTACATTTCTCAAAAGGCGTTCTCGGACCTGTCGACAGCAGAATGGCAAAAGAACGGGCGAGCTGAGAGCAAATAAAACACCCTGTGATAAAAAAAGTAAATAAAATAAAATGAAATGAAATAAAATAAATAAAAATACATATAAGGTGAGAAAAATTCTTGCGGATCGATCGAGAACGTCGAAAATTGTCAAGTGCCCGGTTAGATATAAGGCAATACTATACAGTATAGGGCACAGATGGGCCGAAGGGAAGAAGGGGGTCAATAGAGAGAATGAGAATGAGAATACTCTGCTCGTAGGTGGTGTGTTACCGACTATTCCGTGTGTTATCTTTTGACAACGACTACGAGAACGATGACGACATAGACACACTCCACTCTAGTCGTGCTCTTTTTCGATACCTCTATCCTATCCCATCCCCTGTATAGCGTGCGCATGTCGATGCTCAAAGTGGCCTGTGGACTCTCGTGAAATATTAAACGGGAGCAAAGACCCCTCGTGCGAATACGAGCCAGTTTCTCACAAACTTTGCCAAGGTGGTGTGAGGGCTGAAGGGTGAGCAGAGCTTATGGTAGCATGCCGAGCCGCTACCCTTACTTGTTGGCTAGATACCTACAGTACAATGTTCTGTGTGGATGCATAGATATAGATATATATATATATATATATATATATATGGATTCTGAAGAAAAGAGGGTGCAAAGCGAGGGTGGGACACGCGAGGGGTGCCGTCAAATCGAACCAGATTCCATCCCAGCGCCATCTATCCCTCGTGCGCAGGTTCCACTGACAGGGCCGTATTTATCTTTTATAAGGGAGCTATTAATTGTTATTATTGCTGCTCAAAGAAGAATTGGTGGGGTGAAAAATTCAAGGGTAAACTTTTTTCATATGGACAATTTCGGGGTTCTCATATGAAAATTTATTATTTTTTTTTTTATCTGTAATATGGAGGGTATAAAGACCGGTTTTAAGAGAGTGTTTTTCGGGGAAGTATTTTTAAAGGATAGTGGAGAAATTATTTTTTTATTCAAGAAAAATTTATAAAAAAAGAAAATTTTTTCGAATCTTTCTGATACAGGATTAAAAAATTAAATTAAACTTGATATTGCATTTTTTTTTGTTTTAAGAAATACTTGTTGGAGGAAAAAATTAATGTCAGGCGGTAATTAATGGAATTTAACATTCAGTGCGTCACAAAGTATTATTTTTTTTTATTTATCAATAAAATGTTTTTCGCGGAAGTATTTTTAAAATATAAAGTGTAGAAATTATTTTTTTCTTCAAGAAAAAATTTATAAAAAATCTGATAGAAAAACAAAATTTTTTGATTGGGAAATAATGTAAATTTGTAACGGGAGCTATTTTCACTGTTTTTTGATACTCTGAACCATTTTTGTGGGGATAAATACCAGTTTTGAACACAAGTTTCTAAAATAAAACTGTTCAAGAAAATAATTGATTAAAAAAATAATCAAACTTTGCTGTCTCTAATAATTTACTTAAAAAACAGACTACTAAATATAACAAGGTAAAAAATAATTTTTTGATGATTAAACAACAAAATATTACAACCAGTTACACTAATTTAAAAAAATAGTTAGTCTGTTTTTAGTTGTCACTGTTTGTGGGCAGTAGCATTTTTTTTTCTTAATATTTAGGTTACATTAGCGCAAACATACTTCTAAAGTGTAATCAAAGTACATATCTAAGTCTACATCACTTGTTCAGGTTTTTCTCAACAATAACATCGAGAAATACCCAAAACTGATCACTGGATTTATATTTATATTTTTTTCCCGTCTCAATCTATTAAAATGATTCTTCGTTGCTTTTTATAAGTTTTTAAAGTATTAAAACGCCCGTTTGTACATTTAATACCGTGAAAATTTTTTTGAATTTGTATTTATACGGCAAAAGAAAATCCAGATCGTATTTTAAAATCAACTATTCAATTATTGACTTTAAAAAGCACACAACATCAGTAAACACAAACATAGAGTATATTTATCAATTATCACATAGGCATTAAGTTAAATCTATATTTAGCCAGAGAGATGATAATTAAAGGAGACAATATTATCATTATAACCATATTTAAGTAAGCCAAAACAAGATTTGCAGTGAAACATTTTATTTAAAAATTAATACCAAAAATGACACAAGTTTTTTAAAATTCCTGAGGTTGTGAGGTATAAATTTTTATGGATAAAGTTTATACGATAGCAGTTAGTGGGACAAGATGAGGCATTAAAACAATCGTTACCAAAATATATAATAATAGTAAACTGATGTTTGTTGAGATAATGAAGACTTGAGACATTAGTGTCGTAGTATTATAACCGACTCTTGACGTTAACTGCCACCGTGGTCTTGTTGAATTATTCAGAAATGGTAAATTTAAACCCCGAGCCCCGGTACGCCGAGACTTGCTTCTGCTGTTACGCTGTAAACCCACTGTTGGAAATATTGCGAGTTATATACATATACATACATTATCCCGTATCCGCGTCTTGAGAACAATTGGCTCGGTCACCCCGTTCTCTTTATTTTATCACTATCACCATTTCTTATATCTTTTTATTTTACTTTTTACCTTCACTTCATTTTATTTTAGATTTTTTTTTCTTCTTTCGCTTCCTCCGCTGCCGATCCGGCTAATTCGAATTATAGTCAACGTTAAACCGCCGGGTGATAGCTTCTCTATACATATGTACTGTGAAAATTCGTTAGCATTTTAAAAACCGTGTGAATATCCACCGCTTACAGTGTGGTAAGAAAAAAAAAGAGAAGGACGTTAAAGAGAAGAATTAAATGGAAAAAAAGAAATAAAAATTAGGGAATACCCGAAAAGAATAGCTTGCTAACGAGCCGATGTTTCAAAGTGCCCTGCTCGTTTTTTCCAACTTTTCCGCAGCATATATAGATATATGTGGGCCCAAGTAAAGCAACCGGGTTATTAGCGCTCGTTAGCGGACCTCCGAAGTATAAATGCTGTTTTCTGTCTGGGTATAAATTATCGCATCTCTTCGTTTATTTATGTATTTATTTATTCAACTTTTCCTTCTTTTAACCGTCGCGCCCTCTCAGTTCTCTTCCTCCGTCTCCGAGGTTTAAGCTTTTTTGTCCTCACTTAACTTCAACCAAACATTTATTATTCTATTTTTGTTTTTAATCCGAGGGAGAGAAAATAAATTTTCGCTAACAATAAACCTGAAAAAAGCAGTTACCATTACTTGAGCAATGGGAGTCCAAAAATATTATAAATTAAAATAATATATAAAACTTACGTTGGGCTCAAGAAGCTTATTCATGCACGATATTCGACTCTTCATCAGCTCTATTTCAAGGTGCTCCTTGTGCAGCTGAATTCGTGATAAATAGAAAGGTACATTAGGTATGCTAATTTTTTTTACAACCTCCAGATTTTTTTTATAAGTATTCCGGAAAAAAAAACATTCAGAGGGATTTTAAATTTAGTCATGTATTTTTTTTTTTTTTTTTTTTTTTTTTTTTTTTTATGATAAAAGTCAGTTTTAAATTATTTTAAGGAAAAATACATATGTTTAACATAAACGAAAATTTCTTTTAAAAAAAATGAAAATTTTTATGACAAGAAATTAATTGATTGTAAATTTTAAACAATTTTATTTCTTAATTATTTAAAATTATTTTTTTTTAACAAAGAAATTACTGTGAGTAAAATTTTTATTTTTTAAACTAAAAAATAGAATTGTTTAAAAATTAACTTCTTATTACAACATTCAAATATTTTTTAAAATAAAAATTTTCTTTTAGTGCAAAATGATTTTATTAATTAAAAAGTGTTTGTCTTAAATCAATTTAATTTTTTTAACTCACATATGGGTGATTCTCTGTAAGGACGTCTTAAATTTGTACAAAATTGTCCGACCAAATTATTTTTGATTTTATTATAAAAAAAAATTAACAAGGGCTACAAAACTATCAGCTTAATCATAATAAATAAACAGCCAAATTAATTTTTGTTTTTTCGATATTTGTGTGTCTTTTGCCATATAATATGACAGGGGACTGTTTTTTATATCCAATTGAGAAAAATCAAGCAAACTATTTCAATGCATTCAACTTTTCAAGTTCTCAATGAATGTTTACATTAATTAGAATAATATTAAGACTTATGGATCCAATTTTATAAATAAATTATAAATAAAAATAGTTGCCAGGGGACTGAATTTTTATCTGGCCCAGGGGACTGAGTTTTGAAGTGGCCCAGACACATATTTCCAGCACAAACGGTGCTTAGACACTAAATAAAATGGCGATAAAGCGCTAACAGCCCTATGATTATTAACTCAAGGCTAGTTAGATCCTTATAAACCTTACAAAAGGTAAAATAACACGCTGGATTTTTTTTTGGCTTTGAACTTCTGGCAGGGGACTGTTCTTAAAATGCCTGGGACAAACTTTGGTTTAATCAATTTAATGAAACAAATTAATTTTCGGTACTTTTTATTGAAGAAGATTGTTAGTTAACTAATTAAGTTTATAAACATTATGGACCAAATTATATATTATTGACGAATAACTTAAAATTTAATCTTTAAGTTTTAATTTTGGGAATGGGACAGCCCAGGGGACTGTTAATTCGGTGGTTTACGAATTTATAGCAAAAAAACCAAAATTTCTTTCATTTTAGTTTTCAATGCTCCAAATAGAAATATTTTTTTACTTTTGTAATAAATTTTTTTTAGTAACAAAATAAAAATTTTTCCAATAAAAAAATTCAAAAAACATCCTTACAGAGAATCACCCTTATATATTTTTTTCCTGGAGAATTTCCTCCAAAGTTTTCCTAAAAACTCCCGAATTATTTTAAATTAAAAATTAATCTTACCGTCCGTTTGGCTTTGTCTTGAAAGACATCCGTCTGTTGCAACTGAAATCAAAGATTATAATAAAAAAAATAGACTGCCAAAGCTCTTATGATTTCCAGAGCTGTCATTTTTTATTATCACCATGATCATTGTTCCCTCCCGAGAGTGTATTTCACTCCACTAGTGAAACAAGACAATCAGGCGAAAACTCTCAAACGGACTTACGTGTTTGTGAATACAATTGTATCCCGGTCTCACACTCAAAATACTCCGCTTCCGAGGTAGTTTCTGTGACAATTCAATGGTATATATATATATGAAATATATATAAAATATATTCATGCAGATGAAAGAGAGAAAAAAGTATTAAAAAACTAAGAATAAGAAAATAAAAGCGTAGACTGAGGAGGAACTTGAGAAAAATAAAAATTTATAAAGAGAAGGCAAAAACGGAAAAAGGTGATTTACCTCGCTCGCCTCATTCTGCAACGTTTGACACAATGTCTTGTTTGACTTTGCGACTTTAGTGCTCTGTGAATAGAAATTTTAAGTAATTAAAAATAATTGACATTATTTTAACTTTTATGTCGATAATCGTTATTATGCCCGCAAATTTTGGTATTATTGGAGCTATCACCTTAATTATTCATCCGATAGTTTGATTTTATAAAAAATGAATATTTTATGTGATGTCTGATTTGATAATGAGAATTACATGACATTAAAAAAAAAAGATATCTTTATAAATGTTAAATTGATTGAATCAAATTAGTTTTATCAGCTTTTAAATTTCGATCCAATTAAAATTGACTTATTTCAAATTTAATAATTATTTTCGTTCATTTAAATTAACGTAACTCGAACTTCATTTTAAGATAATAAAATATCATGGTTAAAATTCTATATCGGTTTCATTTAAAAGTGAAAAACAATATCAGTTGTATATAAAGAGGATTATTTTTTTGTGAATTATTAAATTTAAACATTGGAAAAATGATATATTATTGCGGGTGTAGTTTTTCCGAAGGGATATTGTTTTTATATTCAAAATTTTCACATTTATGATAGAAATATTTAAAAATCAAGGCAATAGTCTCGATATCTATCGACTATATAAAGCTATTGATATTTAATGTATGAAAAATAATGAATTATTTAATTAATAATTACCATTAAAGCGTATATAAATATGACTACTGTTAATGTAGTGGTTATAAATGTTATGAAGCCACAATCATAGCCAATGCGAAACAGCGATCGCAATTCGTTATCTAAAACCATGAATTTCCAAACCTGAAATTATTATTTACATTATTAAGAGAATAAGCAAAATTTTGTGGTGTGTATTTATATGATAAAATTAGTTTTTAAATGGAATTTAGTATCATTGGAAAGGTCGAGACCTGAATTAGTGCCTTTTCAATGTTTCATATGCGTTTCTAAAATAGTTTATTTATTATGATAAGTTTTCGAAGTAGTTTTTAATAGATTCGAATTTTGCGATAAACAAAATTTGTTTATTTATTTATTTCGTTTTGTACACATGAATGTGGTTATATGTCAAAAATTAATTTATATAATTAAGGGCCAGTTTTTCAAGCCGGGATAAAATTTTATCCGAGATAAAAGTACTGTCAATATAATAAAAAAAAAATAAATAAATAATTTAGCGACGTGAATTTTGTCATTTATTTAAATAAAAAATAAATATATCATAAAAATAATAATAACCTCTTATTGTGTCATTTAAATTATTTTAAATTAATTAACACAATTATTATAGATTAATAATAGATATATCAAACGCAAGATATGAGCTCAAAGAGCTCAAAAGCATAGAACAGTGACCGCTTTGAGCTCGGAGAGCTCAAAATAACACATAAATTGTAATTTGGAGCTCGATAATGTTACAAGCGCAATGTCAAGCGCTTATATATATGGAATTAGCGGAAAGTTGCAGGGATGGCCTTCAGGGTCATCCGTTTTCCTAATTTTTATTTTATTCATTTACAATCAGCAAGTTGTCACGGAGATTAGTATTTCTGTGGCATACGGCTAATGTTCATTTATTTTAATTAAAAATAAATGACTGAATTCAGGGAGAACTACTCGTACGCAATATCACTGTGCTGAATTATTTATTTTTATTATTATATTGGCAGTAATTTTATCTCGGATTAAAAAACTGGCCCTAAGAAAAATTTGGTAACGGGTATCAATCTTTATCGTAAATTGGGTTTGATATTTTTTAGCGATAGTTATTTATGATTTAAATAATTAAGTGAGTAAGGAAAATTTTGTGACGAGCATATTATTATTTTTAAAGAAATTTTTATAGGTTTTATATATTTTTAAGTGATAGTCAATTTCTTATGTTAAGTTTTTGAAGGAGTTTTTTGCTTCTATAAATTTGTTCGGTCACATTTGTCCATTAAATTATTTGTAATTGATCCTGTGATAGCACTATAATTTTTAAAATTTATTTTAAAAGTACCCAAACTATATACAGTGCGATTATAAACATAAAAAAATCATTAAGCCAAAGTTTTCTAATTCATAATTCGTAAACCTCAGCAGTCGCATAGTGACTGCCGGTTGCTAGTTGTTATTAATTTTTTTAAAATTTTTATTTATCAATACCTAGAGGTTACTTTCTCAAATGTCATAAAATTGTTACTTAACCTTACCACAAAATATTAAAATTTTTCAATTAAAATTTTTCACCACAAATTTATTGTGGTAATTATTATTATTGCTAATTTAAATGAAAAAAACAATTTATTAATAATGAACACTTACTAGCCAACTATAGTTGGAAGAGCGATAGTACCAAAACATTTTCATGTTATCCATATAAATGTGTTTTATTTACTTGTGTATTTTTATTACTGTTATTATTAATTTATTCTCTCGTATTTTATTGGCGTTTTTATATTTTTGATTTGTACACAACACTTTATAATTTACAATCCGAGTTGATTTATCTATTGTGTGACAGCAATTTAGATTGGCCGAGGTGTATGAAAAAATATATAAATAACAACAACGGTAACAGTAATAATAATAATAATAGTCGTACTACTACTACTAATATAAATAATAATAATAATAATAATAGCAATACTGATAAAAACAAAATAAAAAATAGAGAGATGACAGAGTAACGTTGAAATAAAAATATTTGACAAGCGATATGTGCGATCGATGGTATCAATAATTCGACATGTCCTCGGATAATTTAAAATTTTTTCTTATAATCACATTGACCCACTAATTAATATACGTCAGCTTGATATCAATTGAAATCTCATTAAAAAAATATTATACTTTTTTTTTTTCTGTTAATTATTGCAAATGAAAGCAGTAACTAATAATTTACATAACAATTAATAATTTATACCATTTCAATTGCTTGTAAAATATATTTCTACACAAAAAAAAAATTGAATTGAATTATGAGAAAAAAAGTTTGGAAAATCCAAAAGTGCACGCCTCATAATTTCATTTTTTAAAATAAAATTGATTAAAATAAAATATAAAAAGCAAAATAATAATAAACAGGTGAGGAAAAAAAATACTATACTAAAATGTATAGATAATTATACAAAAAAATACACAGTTGTATATTAGTTTTTTATAAATAATAATTTAACGACAGTGAATTGAACGCTCATATTAATTAAGAAAGTCCTAAGTGTGTTACTTTAGATATTAAAAAAAAAATTATTCCGGTACGATCATTTTTTCGACCAATTTCCCTGCTGGATACACCAATCCATAAACAGAGACACACGGACGTCCAGAAAATATATTTGATGTGCCTGACAAATTATTTGACTTGATATTAGTACACTCAGATTAACCTGTAAGTGCGATATAAAAAAAAAATCAATTTAAATTTCGAGAAAACTGGTTTTTTTGAAATGTCGAGAGTAGAGCACTACCTCAACGCTTCGCTTATGAGGCGTGCAATTCTTGAACCAAGAAAAATTTCTTAGTTTAAGAATTTTTTACTCAAAATCAAGAAGATGAAGTTCTTCAAAATTATTTACTTGATTCAAGTTAATTTTTTTTTTGTGTATCCTTTAGTAAAAAGTTGATGTGACGTTTTCACTGTTGTCGCTTTTCGTTGCTAGGGTAACTGTTGCTATAGTAACCGTTGCTATGGTAACGGTTGCTATGGCAAATTTTTTCCATGAAAATAATCATAACTTTTATTAAAAAGTTGATGTGAAGTTTTCATTGTTGTCGCTTTTTGTTGCTATGGTGACCTTTTTTGGCAATGGTTATCATAGCAACGGTTACCATGGCAACAGTTAAATATTAATGAGTAAAATTTGTGAAAATATTGATTAATTAAATTGTCGATAATAAACATTTTGACAGAAATGCGCAAAGCGCGTTCGATTTTCTAATAAAATAAAAATTAATAATTGCAGTAACAATTCTAGTTTTGCTATTATTTAATATCTCAGAGATGAATATACCACAATTGAGGTAGTTCAGCTTATTTATTTACCAAGATTTTAATTTTATTGTAGTAAAGTGAAAGTTATTAAACTAATTGAATTTATCAATCGAGTATCGTCAATACTCGGGATTAACTCCGTTGATTTTCAATTCTATGAATATTTTTATATAATTCAATTAGTATTCGTGGCATTGTTTTCCCGAGTTTGCTCTATTTTTTACGGTTTTGAAATAAAAAATTTATTTGAGCTACAGAGGAGAGACAATTAGATAAATTGACTCCAAATATATAAACTGGATTATTTGTTTTTATTATTTATAACTTATAACCACGAAAAGTATTTAATATCGATGTGAACAATCACCTTCTCCGGAAATATGAAAATTTTCTCAAGGATCGACACTTTTTTTACCCTAAAATAAATTAATTTAATTATTATCGAAAATAATTAAAAATAAAAATGATTTTTCATTTTTTAGTTTGCTTTGCTATTCAAGCGCGTTTTAAGTATTTACAACAATAATTTATTTATAAATTACGAGGGTTTAAAAATTGACAAACACCGAAATTTCTCAAGACGAAAGAGAACGAGTGGTAAAAGTGCAAACGAGAGCGAAATCGGCGAGAGTCCTCGAGTAATCTTATAAAAAATCGATTGACATTCTTCAGGGTAAAATTTACCTCAAAAAAGTGGGCTCTTAACTTCTGTTTGTCCATTCGGTGAGGGTATACTGCTTCCGGTCTCGGTCTATCCCTTCGGTGAAAGCTTCTTGAGAGGCTATTCCAGAATAAAAGCTAACAAAAAATAATGTCAAGGATAAATATATCAAACTAAAAAAAATATTTTCCAACACCGAGGTATCACATCCTCCATCTCTTAAAATAAAACCGTCTTGTTGTTTTATTCTCCACGGCGAATATTTAAATTTATCCTACAAATTCCCTCGATCAATCACCTTCCTTATATTAAATGTTATATTAATAAAAAAGAACAGGATAAAAGCTGTAAGCAATTGTAAAAATAAATTTTTTTATTGTAATTTCAATTTTACACCCGCAA